AAAAATAAAGTAAATTCTCAATATGAGATGTATTCACACAATTTCGTTTAAGGATGAGAACAACTTTTGGAAAGCAAGAAAATGTGAAATTGAATGGAAACTTCAGCTCAACTCATGTCATTGTAGGAAAATTGTTCTTCTACCAGTCCCTCGTCACCTCAAAACGAAATGGGGTGAATGCATTTCCTATTAATGTGAGAATAGTGAAAGGAACATCTGCTGTTGCCATTTACAAGAAAGAAGACAAGGAAAGATGGATAGGCAGATAGAAATGGAATTTCCGATTGGTTATTTTGGTACGTCTGTGGGTGTGCTAGTCAGGCTGCCAAACGAGCACCAGTTTTAATGCGGATTAGTTAAGTACAGGACTACGAAAAGTAGTCCTGTTCCAGAGTGATTCAGATCTAAAGCATAAGTCTAGGAACAGCATGCCTGGGTAGTACCATATGGCCAGAGTAGGCCGGGATGAGTTTGCGTGCATTGTCGTCTAGTGGCATCCGGTTGAGCTCATCTGTTGAATCGTCCTCTTTCTTGTCGATAGCCTCTGCCAGATCATTGCGAGATTCAGCTTTGAGGAGTTCTGTTGAATGGCTTGACAGAGAAGAGGTCAGCTCGCTTCCACTGGAACACTCGGCGAGGATGTGTTGCCGTTTGAGTCAATTTCAATGTCGCGGTACCCTCAACCGATTGCAAAGCAAGTGAGATTAGCTGTCGTCTTTCCGAGCTTGCGACCAGATGCCTTCTTGTTAAGCAAAGGTGGCCATCAGCAAAAGATGGAAAATGGTGAGTATAATTTGATCTGTTGGGAGATTCCGGGTAGGGCTTAAGCGTTGCTTTTCGAGACAATTAATCTTATCGAAATGTGGCCTAGTGATAGTCTGTCTTCATTTGATGCAATCCATTTGCTTTCGAATATAGTTTCGAGTGATGATGATAACGATGGTGATGATGATGAGGAGGATAGTAATGAGGATGGTGATGATGGTGGTAGTGAGGAGTAGTAGGATAATTATGATTGTGTTACTAATTATAACATTGGGGATGATGTTGGTGATGCGGATACTGATACTGATGTTGATGATAATGACGATGATGCTGATGATGGTGATGGTGATAAGTGGCAGTAGGATGATTATGATTGTGTTAGTAATAATGACATTGGTGATGCGGATACTGATACTGATGTTAATGATAATGACGATGATGCTGGTGATGGTGATAAGGAGCAGTAGGATGATTATGATTGTCTTACTAATTATGACATTGGTGAGGATGTCGGCGATGCAGATACTGATAATGATGTTTGTGATAATGACGAGGATGATGATGATGGTGATGATGAGGAGCAGTAGAATGATTATGATTGTCTTACTAATTATGACATTAATGAGGATGTTGGTGATAATGATGATAGTGGTGGTGATGGTGATGAGGAGCAGTAGGATGATTATGCTTATAATGCTGATGATAAATTTGGGGAGGATGATGATAAGGGTACCAATGATAATTATAAGGAGGAAGAGTAAGAGGATGATGATGACGATAATGACGGTGGCAGTGTTGTTGTTGATGATAATGATTGTGATGACGATGATGATGGTGATGGTGATAGTGATAGAGATTAGAAGCCGTAGAACAAGTATGCTTGTGATGCTGACGATACCAAGCTAAATTGGGTTTCGATGAATCTCCTCAAATAAAATTGTTGGGCGAACTTTCAGTTGGTATGATAGTGCATGAAGAAGATATTCTTTGGTCGATCTGACCAGATGAGGACGGATGAATCTTGTTGTACCGCAGCCGTTTGGCTTTCATACGATATTCATGTCGACGCAGTCCACGAGACCTTCTCCCTCTTTTCGGGTGGAAACCTGCTGACATTTCGTCCATCAGCACGTTTTCACCGGAAACGAGGAAGTCTCGTGGTCTGCGTCGACATGAACAGCTTATTAAAGCAAAACGGTTGCAATACAACGAGATTCATTCGTCATCATCTGTTGAGATGGACCAACGAATCTCTTCTTTATGCACTTTTATACGAAATGAAAGTCTCCCCAA